CCTCAATGCTGTGGGCAGAGGGCTGTGTGAGGCCTGGGCAAGCGCTTTGCCCTCTCTGAGCCGATTGAGACCTACGAAAGGGTACATACGATCCGGGCTCTGCCTCACTTACACTTGAGCCATGGAGGTCTTACTGATGGCTGTCCCCGCCTGAGTCGGGTCTTGTAGGCCATGGCTGAGCCTCAGTTAGTTCACCTGAGGAATTGGTGGGTGGGGGCTTGTGGGAGGCACGAGTGTGGCACGGCCAGCCTCTCTTCCGCCCTCTCTTCTCCCTGTATCAGTCCCTGTATCAGCCCACGGAGCTCCCCGTGAACCTACCGGGGGCAGCCATGATTTGGCTCATCATTTAAAGGCAGAGACCAGTGGGTGAATCTCCCGGACCCACAAGGCGGAAGGAGAGAAATGACTCCTGCAAATCATCCCTTACAGAGGTGCTGTAATGCATGTGCACACATGAACACATGCATGCGTTCGCACACGCACACGCATGCGCACGCACACACACGCGCATCAAATAAATATAAATAAATAAAAATCTTTTGAAACGGAGAAGGGCAGAGACCCAGAGAAGTTAAGGGATTGTCGCTCAAGGTCACACAGCCCAGAAGAAAGCCCTGCTGGGATGAAACTCCTTGCCAACCTGCTCCACAGCCCAGGCTTGCCCCCCCCCGCCCCCACCCAGTCCTCACAGGAGGGAGAGAGGTCCCAATGCGCAGGGGCCAGTTTTTTCCTGGACCACAGACAGAGGAGAGCCAGCAGCTCCCACAGTCTCTGCTGTCATCATTAAAGTCGGGGGGCTGTTGGCCCCCTGAGTGGCCCCCACAGAGTCCATTTAAAACGCGGGATGGAGCCAGGGCGGTAGTGGTGGCGGCGCACGCCTTTAATCCCAGCACTCGGGAGGCAGAGCCAGGCGGATCTTTGTAGCCTGGTCTATAGAGCGAGATCCAGGAAAGGCGCAAAGCTACACAGAGAAACCCTGTCTCAAAAAACAAAAAACAAACAAACAAACAAAAATGCGGGATGGAGCTGGTCCCTGCTCCAAAGTTTCCCTTGTTAAATTTGAGGGGTCCACACACATTCTGGCAGCCCCAAGGCCTGAGCACTCCCGTCACCTCATCCTCATGAGATATAAAAAGACAAGTCACACGCTTTGCTGAGTTAAGTGTCCAGTGGCTGCACCGCTCCTGGGGACCTTGGACGTGACTTCTGTGAGATACACAGGGTGCAGGGAAGGGTACCCCAGCAGAAGGAATAGAGGCTGCCAGGAAGGAGGAGCCAGGCTGGGGTGGGAGGAGCCAGGCTGGGGTAGGGGGAGCCAGGCTGGGGTAGGGGGAGCCAGGCTGGGGTAGGAGGGGCCAGGCTGGGGTAGGGGGAGCCAGGCTGGGGTAGGGGGAGCCAGGCTGGGGTAGGAGGGGCCAGGCTGGGGTAGGGGGGGCCAGGCTGGGGTAGGGGGGGCCAGGCTGGGGTAGGAGGGGCCAGGCTGGGGTAGGGGGAGCCAGGCTGGGGTAGGGGGAGCCAGGCTGGGGTAGGGGGAGCCAGGCTGGGGTAGGGGGAGCCAGGCTGGGGCAGGGGGAGCCAGGCTGGGGTAGGGGGAGCCAGGCTGGGGTAGGGGGAGCCAGGCTGGGGTAGGGGGAGCCAGGCTGGGGTAGGAGGAGCCAGGCTGGGGTATTGAGGAGCCAGGCTGGGGCGTCTGAGGGCAGAGGGAGGCCTGTTTAAGCAGTCAAGGGCCCCTGACCTTGAATTTTTGCCTCAAGGGCACTCTCCATCTAATTCGGGGTGAAAGAAGCCCGTGCAGCCTCCTGGGTCCCAACACTCAGGTCCCCTCTGTTCTTCCCCTGCCTCAATTCCAGCCTTGGATACACACCAGTTAGCGCCTCTCTGAGCCCCAGTCCCCCACTAGGGATAACCAGAGCCTCCAAAACTGGGACACTTGTATCAAACTAACAGACACACAAAGCGTACAGTCACCACAGGTACCATCTATGAGAGAGAGTGCCCGCCCACCCTCTGTGCCATGCTTGGCCACGTGGTAAGGGGCAACATGAGCATTCTAGGTCACAGTGAGCCCGTGAGGAGGTACACTCTGAGGGTCTAGGCCTTGCTCACTCCCTGTCACCTGCTGGGCTGCCCAGCCACCACAGCGGTAGCATGTAGACACAAGCAGAGGAAGAGATGTCCCAGACCCTTGCTACCTGCACGTGGGAACACCAGGGTAGACAGCTGGGCACGTCTCCCTGGACAAAGTCTGCAGAGAAGTTTCTAGGAAGCCATGGGAAACAGTACATCATGACACACAGCATCTATTAGGGGGTGGCCAACATCCACACAGCCAGCTGAGTGTCCCTACCCATCTTTCAGACGGCTCAGAGAGTGACTGATCCAGGGTCGGACATGTCTGTTAGGTGAGTGCTGCCGCTGTGGCCAACCTGTGGGGACAGCAAGGCCCAGGCTCTGCTTCCCCCTATCTGTCCCTCACCCCAGGATGGCTATCGGGCCTGCTCCCCACTCCCTTAAGCCACCTGGGTTTCAGAGCTGCCCTCAAGCCCACGAGAAGACACTCAAAGGGAAGGCCCCAGACTTCACAATAGTCGATGTCCCCTGCCTCGGTCTCCGAGGGCAGCAGAGTCTGCACGCCTGCCCCCGCCATCTGCCACCATTCTCTGGAGCCAGGAGGGAAAGCTTGTGGTTCCACACATAGAGAGACCCTGTAGACGTGGTCACTCTAACAAGAATCAACTCCACCCAAGGAGCTGGGTGGGGATGGGCAGGGAGAAGGGAGGGGAAGAGAGGAGGCTTGCTGCAAATGGAGGGGTGTTCCTTTTATCTTCGGAGTAACCACGCTCCTAAACCGCCCCTCAGCACAATTGCTCATGGTTTGGTAGCGCGCCTGGGCTCTTCTTAAGAGGTCACAGGCGGTGGAGCCGGGCCTGGAGTTAACTGAGTTCAGCCATCGGTTCCTGGCCTTGCTTCTTTGTGACCTGGCGTCTCCCAGCAGGGAGTGTGCCAGCCAGCAAGCAGGACATGTCTGTCAGGCGGTGGAACCACCAGGCAGGGTAAGGGCCACCTTGGGCTCTTGTGACAGCTGGCCCAGGTCCAAAGAGACACAGCTGTCATGGCTTGATGGGAATACTCAAGGACACACGCAGACAGGTAAGGGACAGGATGAATGGCTGTGGCCATCACTGGGACAAGACTATCAAGTCTCACAACGCAAGTTCAGGGAGAGCACCCCAGGTGCCCTTGGGCTCTGGACATCTTCCCCATCTTTGAACAGGGTGGCAGGACGTCCCCAGGGGTAGGGACAGCTCCGAGCCCTCTCCAGCCTCATGGGAGCCTGACACAGAGACTGCACCATCTGAGGACATTTGCAGAGGACCACGTGGGAGGGTGGTTTATCTTCCCTGGGAAGTCCTTGAGTGTATTGAAAAAAATGCCTGCTGTTCCCATGCCAAGAGGGGCAGAGGTGATGACTGGTAGCCCTCCCGAGGGTGACATCAGACTGCTTTTGGCATGCTGCAGGTATCTACTACATGTCTGTGAGAGCCTGTGTGTGTGTGTGTGTGTGTGTGTGTGTGTGTGTGTGTGTGTGTGTACACGCCTGTGCATGCAGACCCAGAGAACAACTTGGAATGTCGTTCCTCAGCTGCTGCCTACCTTGCTTCTTTTGACAGGGTCTCTCACTAGCCTAGAACCCGCCAAGCAGGCCAGGCTGGCTAGCCAGTGAGCCCGAGATCTCTATCTGTCTCTACCTCCTCAGCACTGGGGTTACAAGAGCAAGTCACCACAACTAGCTTTTCAGGGTTTTTTTTTTTTTTTTCTTTTTTAAATGTGGGTTCTAGGGCTCGAACCCGGATCCATGTATTCCCAAGCCACTTTTCCATCTTTCTAGGCCCGCTAAGTGTTTGCCAAATGATAAAGGACTGTAAGGACTCAGCCAGCCAAGTGAATTGTCTCCCAATACCTGCTGGGAGGTGGTGGTCACATGAGCTCCCTCAATACCTGGGAGGAGGAGGAGGAGGGGGGGGAGGAGGAGGAGGAGGAGGGGGAGGAGGGGGAGGAGATTGTTGGCTGCAGGCTGAGGTACATCCTGCCACCTGGCTCTCAGAATCCCAAGGAGTTGTCCCTATACACAGAACTCAACTGTGTGGCACAGACACAGGAAGTCACTCGCCGAAGTCACATACGTCCATCACAGGGCCGATCCCCAGACTGCTGTGCTCCCATTAGGCTCAGGTGACCGTCTCTGTTCCAGAGCAGTCAAGAGGGCTCGTGACATCCCACAGGCCACCCTGCAAAGAGGAAGCTGGGAGCGAGAGGCCCGCCGCCGGTGTGGCCCTGAGGTCTAGGGGCAAGCAGGTGCACGCCAACACTAGGACCCGGCTCCCCTCAAATTTAACAAAAGCAAAACTTTTAATTTAGATGTTTGCATCTCTCTGTCTCCAAGCAAAAATAACTCTAAGATAATGACTGTAATAAATGAAGGTAATTAATTGTGGTTTGTTCCTTTAGTGTCTAGTCAGCTTAATTTTACCTTTTCAACTAATAATGAGAAAATAATTTTTGTGCGTGGAGGGTTAATGACATGTAACTGTGAGAGCCGCTAATTGCATGTTGCAATCCATCCATCAGCAGCCCCATCTGCGTGGCTTGATTATGTTTGCTAAATTATTGCTTTGAATTATCTTTCATAAAGGCAACTTTTATAATTAGTGGGGCTTTCGGGCGAGCTCCCTTTCTCTGCTCAAGGATTTTCAAACTTCGGCCATTTCAAGCTGGTTCCCGGGAACTGCTTTGCCTGGCTGGCTTTTGTTTTCCTGGGGCGGTGTCGGGGGTCCTAAATTGTCCCTTGAAGCAATCTAGGAAGCCTTAATTCACAGTGGGCCGAGTCCACTTCCTCCCCACCACACCTCCCACAGGCAGGAAAAAGGATTCAGGGTGAGGGGACCCCCAACTCTGGACACACCAAGGCTGCTGGGTTGGAAGGCAGCAATGGACCTAACCTGATCAGGTTCTGTGGCCGCTTCTCTCCGCACAGGGGTGAAGAGGGACCTGCAGCCATGGCAGTTCAGTGCAGCCATCACGAGGAAGGCAGGGGCTTGGGGAACACAGTCAAGATAAATCCTGTGGGTGCGTGGCCGGAGGGGTCCCTCGGCACAACTGTCCGCACGCTGGGAAACCAGCTCCCAGCGTGGTCAACTCCCATCAAAACTTCTCTCCTTCCCTGTCCTTCAGGATGCCACCTGGGTACCAGGCTCCCGGCTGTGGCCGCCCAGCAGCTTCCCCCTTCATCGGATTTGTAGGCTTTGTGCGTCACAGGAGAGTTGAGGTTCCGGGAGGTCTCGGAGAACCTCCCCAGGGCCACACAGCTGAAGGAGCGGGGCTGAAACTTCAAGCCCGCCATCCATGAAGTTGAGCCTCGGGTCTTCTCATCACTTCAAACGTTCAAGTCTTTCTTCTACTGCGAAGGGGGTGGCATCGTCTCTCCACACAGCCTAGGACGGCCTCCACCTTCCCAAGCTGGGATCACAGGCGTGTGCCACTTCTCACAGCTATGGCCAAGGCTTCTAACACCCAAGGCACCATTCTGAACACTTCCTTATTATTTACCTTGCTCCTCCCTCAGTCTCAATCTTACGAGAGAGAGAAAATTATCACCAATCTGACAGAGGAGGACACAGGCCCAGAGAGGCCAAGAAACTCACCTAAGGTCACACAGCCAGTCCGTGGTGGAGGCAGGGTTCCAGTCCCAGCTACGTTCCTGTGACACTCAGAGAGTGCCAGATGGGCATGTTCGCCCCTTTCCTGCATTCTCTCTCGCTATCCACATCCAAAACAACACGGGAGGACCAGAAGTCCCTTTATCCCATGGTACAGAGAGGGAAATGGAGGTTCAGGCATCTGGAGAAACCCTGCCCACACCAACATTCCTGTACATGCAGCCGCAGCCTACATGCTTATCTGGTTCTGAGGGAGAGATGACTCTGAGGAGTGGGGAATGAGCCGGAGCCCTTCCCTCCATCTCAGGGGCTGTGGGAGGGTTTTCTGGGTCCACCTGAGCTCAGTGGGGAGCCCTTGCTCATGGGACATTAGAGATGGGCTCCCCTCCCCAGGCCAGCATGACCCCAGCATCTTCTCAGGTAGGCGAACGGACACTGTCAATGCCAGAGACGACAGTACGGCATTCTGCTGTCGTGGGGTGGACGCGCAGGCGGTGAGCAAAGCCGCCTTCACCCAGAGCGTGGTGGGGAGGGAGATGTGCTGGGAAGGCCGGCAGCCCCTGGGCCTTTTCCGCAAGGATGCCTGAGCAGGGAAGCAGGGGCTCACCTACCTCAGACCTCAGATTTCACCCTGGGGCAGGGAAGCCCAGTGCAAGTCACCCCCACCTCCCCAAGCGCTTTGCCACCGGCGGGCTCTTACCTCAGCTTGGAAGCTTTTCAGCACGGGAGCCACCATCTCTCTGATTCCCTGAAAAGAGACGACGGAGGGTCTGCCACAAGGCAGGCACCCCCGAGCCCACCCTGCACCCCCCCACCATCGTTCTCACCAGAACTGTGGCTTTGAAAGGCGCGCGCGCGCGCGCGCACACACACACACACACACACACAGAGGTTCTGTCCCTGAAGTACTCTTTAGAGCCTTTAATAGCACACACAGCATTGGGCATTCTGGAGAGAGAGGCAGGATGGATATTTCCTAAATGCACACCTGTTTTCTTCTCGGTGGTCCTGGGGATGGAGCCAAGAACGCCATGCTCCACCCCTGAGCTACACCCCCCCCCCCCCAGCCCTCAGCATTTTGAGACAGGGTCTTGCTATGTAGCTCAGGCTGGTTTGAACTCATGACCGCCTGCCTCAGCCTCCCGAATATTACAGTGAGAGTACTCATAACATCCTTGTGTGTGGCATGGTTGGTCCTGCAACCTAGCTCAGGGGAATGGGGGCTGGAGAGCTGGCCCTGATTCTCTACTCTCAGCGCTAGGTGGAAAAAGCCACCCAGGAAGTCCCTCTGTCCTGCCAGGTGTGGCATGGGGCTGCTTCATCCACACAGCCACCTCCCAGGAATGTGCATCTTGCATTTCGCCAAAAGTTGTCACTATTCATGTCTGTCCTTCCTCTCCAGAGCATGGAGTGATTTCTAGGGACATGGCTGGGTCCCAGCCCTGTGATGCCATGTATAAACCAACGGCTTCACCAATGTTGTGAGCACACAGGATCAGCTCTAGCCACCCAGATGTCCCAATTTCCTCAGACCCAAGGAGTGGTCTCTGGAGGGCCCCCAGCACTCAGCAGAGATGAGTGTCCCAAGGTTCTAACCCTGAAGCCTGTGGGTCCCTCAGGGATCCACTGGGGATCCTTCCTCCTGCCACAATCGGTCAAAGCCCTGTGGGAGGTGTAAAGAGGCAGGAGGGATGGAAGGGAAGCAGGAGGAAGAGGGCTGGAGGTTATGGAGAAACCCCATAACCATGGGGACACACCGCATTTCTCCCCCTGGACAAGGTCCCTGTTCTGGTCCCAGCTACCCCTCCACACTGGCTTCTGTCTCTGGGGCTTCCCATTGTGGCTGCTGCCTGGATGTAAGGTGGGCTTTTAGGGGACGCACAGACGGTGCCTGTGGCTTTGGTTTCAGGAGCCGGGCTGCCAGGCAGAGTGACAGCAGATTCAGGAGGTTCAAGGTCACAGTCTCAGGCCTGGATGCACAGAAGCAGGAAGCCCCCAGGAGAAGGTGGCCATGTACCACAGCACTGATTAGAGGGGCTGGCACTGGGGACTTGTGGCTGAGACTCAGGCAGCCGGGTGGATCCGACAGCCTCAGAGGAAGCATGGGGAACTCTTCAGACCAAAGGGCCCCTGATTTTATAAAGGGGCCACCGAGACCCATGGGTGCTGGTCTACTCAAGGTGACATTGGCAAGGTGATGTGATACAGTTGGAATTTGAGCCCAAGTCACAAGACGTCTCGCATAGGCTCTTCTCATTCTCACGACCCCATATTCAAATGAGTTTGGGGGCTCACATCTGAGAGTCATGAAATGGGGAAGTAGATGGGTGCTGGGCCAATGGATGTGTAAGTCCTAGGGGGAAGCCAGGCAGGCCACATGCAGTAGGTGGACTGGACCCCCGAGAGGATGCTCTTAAATAAAGTTATCACGACTCTCCCATCAGGAGGGATGAGCTCCCAACACGAAGAGTTTCCAGAACCATGACTATAACAGGAGTGGAAATTTATCCCTTCTAATTATGTAATTGCATAATTATGTAGCATGGAAAATTATGTAAGTCAAACTCGCAGGCTGAAAACCTGGCCTGGATTTCCCTCCTCACCTGAGCGCGCCCGTGTGAAGCAACGGTTGAGGTTGAGTTTACTATGCTAGGGGAGAGAGGATGAGACAGACGGTCTGAGAGGGCCAGAGAGAGAAAGAAGGTGTGTGGGGCTGTGAAGACCTACAAGGGATTCAGCTCTGCTTCCCAGAGATGGGAGGGCCAGAGGCACTCTCGATGTGGGGAGAAAACTCCGTTTATAGACCGGGCTATGTATGGTGTTTAAAAGAGAGGGGCAGGGCTGGGGATATGGCTCAGTTTGCAGAGTGCTTTCCCAGCATGCATGACCCCCCCCCCCAGGTTCTGCCCCAAGTGTCACATAAACAGAGTGTAATGGCACACACCTGTAAGCCAGCACTTGGGAGATGGAGAGAGCGAGACCAGAAGTTCAAGGTCATTCTCAACTGTAGGAGGAGTTGCGGGTCAGCCTGAGCTACGTGCGACCCTGTCTCAAAAAGACCTCACGTGTGCTTGTAGAAGCCATGACAGCAAGAGAGAGTTGAGTCTGAGGCTTCTGCCTCTTTCCTGCACACAGCTTCTCACACGGCTTTCTAGATTTACCCCCAGAAACGAATTCTAGATGGATCCTCATCCCAAAACTTGCCCTGAAGAACCACAGTTGCTTATGACATCCTGGTGGGATTCTACAGCTTCAGGTGTGAGGCTCAGCGCCTCGGTGCCCTACCTCTATCAACAAGAGCCACAGGAGGCCCTGGAATCCCTCCTCCCTGCCCCCCATGTTCTCAGGACAGCTGCCAGCCCCCACCCGCCTTCCGTGGTCCAGCACACCCCAGCAGCTAAGCTGAGACGGTGTCAGGCAGAAGCAGCGGCTGCTGCCTGCAGCTCAGGCCTGGCCCTGGGTCTGTTGTCCACACTCTCTGAGGGTATCTCGGCCCTGTCAAAGCGACACAGGGTCCAAGGGCCCCATTTTGCTATTTATTCTCGTCCCTTTTTCAATTTTATTATATTTGTTTGTTTCTTTGTTTTTCGAGACAGGGTTTCTCTGTGTAACAGCCCTGGCTGTCCTGGATCTCGCTCTGTAGCCCAGGCTGGCCTCGAATTCAGAGAGATCCTCCTGCCTCTGCCTCCCCAGTGCTGGGATTAAAGGTGGTGTTCTACCACTGCCTGGCTTAAATTATCTAATTTTTTTTTTTTTTAATTTGAGAAGCAACAGGGGTCTTGATCGCAGAGGGAAAATAAAATTCTCACATTCCACCTCAGAAGAGAACAGACACATGTCTGGGCCGGTCTTCTCCTTAGGGGAGAGGGAGTGGGCGTTCCATTGCCTGGCCATTGCTATCTCTGGACCAAGTCTGGAACTTCGATGGGGGAGGGGAGGGGCAGGTGCATTGACTGACAGTGAGGGGTGGGTTTCAGAGTCCTAGCTATGTCCTCCAGGCCCACAGGCAGGCAGAAGATGATCCAGACTTCAGGCCCAAATGTCTTAGCCATCAAATGCCAACCATTCCACCCAATATCAGGACTTGGATTGACTGCAGATTTGAGCTGCCTGGTGTTCTGGGTAAGACCGATCTGGGTGGAGGCACTTGGGTGCCCCCAACTCCAGTCAGTGTGCTGGGGGGCCCCTTCTCCCCCCCAATGTGAAGGCTGCCAATGGGCCAGGGCTACAATTTATCTTTGTGGCTAATTAGCTTCTTTTCTTGCTAGTCACTTATGTCTACAGTTTCCACAGTATTGTCTGAACAGAGGGGGGAAGGAAGGCAAGCCGCGTCCCTTCTGAGTCAACGCTGTAGCGGCAGGCACACTCTACCTCTGGCACATTTTTCTTAAATTCCCGGCGGAGTTCAATTAAACGTTTAGGAGAACGCTCGCCTTCCTCCTGTGGTACAGACAGCTCCTCCGAGGCGATGGAATTAAGCTCCTTCTGGAATGAGAGAGAGAGAGAGAGGGGAGATTTGTTCTCTTCTCTTTGCTTCTGAATTACTGTAAACGCAGCAGCCCTCGGCACAAGTTTTTGCAACTCACAGGGCTGAGAAAAGGCTAGATACCGACTCCTGGCATGAATGAAAAAATTCCCCCTCCCCCAAATGGGAGAAAACAGACAAACAAACGAAAAGACCTCCAGGACAGCGTGGGCTTTTCATTCTTGCCCTCCTCAGGAGCTGCTGGGCCAGACCAAGTCAGACTGAGGTTTCTGAACCTCCTCCCCCTCTCTCCCCACCCCAGCCCCACCTCTTGGATTTCCAAGGAGTGATGGCATAAGCCTGTCAGCGACTGAAGAAAACATCTCCGAAGCGTGTCAAAATAGCGGCGCGCGGCATATTGTATGGGCGCTCTCCCCCGTGCGAGCGTACTGCCGACAGCTTCCATACATCAGCGGCGGGCACCGCTCCAACCGCACCTTCTCCCCCTCAAAGGCTCATAAATTCGCCTCTTTAGGATATAGATGGCTTTTTAATTCCGGTAGATTTTGGAAAAATGAAGGTGCCGAAGAGAAGCACGCTGACCTTGTGCGTACCCCACGGTAAATCACCAAAGGTTCCCAGAACCCTCGACGCCGCCGCCGCAGCCGCCGACTGGAAAGAAACAGATGGGGGCGGGGACGGGACGGGGGTGGGTGGGGAGGGAGGGGCTGGCTTGAGTGTGTGCACTCAGGAATCAGACCCGGGTTTGGACACATGAGACCAGAGATGGAGGGGGGGGGGGGGGATGAAGGGGGGGGGGCATGCATCATGGACGGGGCCGGCTGCTGGCATGTATGTGCCTGATTGCTTCTCCTGAAGCTTCCTTTGCTGTTGCAGGGGCTTTCACAGGAGGAGTACAATTCACCAGGAGTTGTCATGACTCATTTGCATAATTCAAGGAACGCTCTGTTTATGTGGCCTGCAACTGCTGGCACTGACTTGAGATGGCCTTTTTTCTTTTTCTTTTTTTTTTTTCCTGGACGATAACTCGATGAACCCTCCTGCATACATCACCCGTTTATATTTGCAGCAATCAAGCCCCATAATTTCCTAAATCCGGTGGTGCAATAAATT